CGTGCATTTTGAGGGGAAAATTTTTTTTATCGGATCTAGAAACATATTCACTCAGTCTTGAGTATATTCGCCGGGGGTAACATTTCTTAAAATTTCGCCAATTTCAGCTCGAATATTCTGATAAAAGAGTCTCATTGAACAAAAAGAGTATAAGTCAGCTAGTGCTCAGTTTGACGAATTGTATTTTTATTATTAAGAGAGCCTAACAAACCTTTTTGCTTGTTCAGAGAAGATCAAAATCATTCGATGAACAACAAAATTAAAGAGAATTTCTCTAAGTAAATCGAGGGTGACAAAGGGTTTTTGCGTGACGCGTGATCGTCCCAAAATTAGCAATGTGGCGCGTGATTGATACCAAATTGGCCGCGTGACGCGGGACAGGACATCATAACGCGATGCGTGATTTGTTATTTTACAAGGACGTGATTCGTGATTTACCAATTAGATTTCCGTGATAAGGGAACGTTCTCTGAACTATAGAAGAATATCATTCATTCCAAGTAAATAGTAAAGAGAGTTTTGAAAAAGATCAATAAATCGGGGCAGACGTGACACCGTTTTCTGGTATTTTTCGTTCCTTCTTCCGCTTGACCTCTGATGTCTTGGATTTTCGTGGATCTTCATGGTACTATATGTCCAGACAATTGTAACACAATAGGAATAAGTCAATTGAAAATAGTTGAAATTTGCATGTAAGGACTATGAGCTTCAGTGTTATTTCTGTTATTATTTTTTGGCAGTGCATCAGACCATATNAATTTTTTTTATCGGATCTAGAAACATATTCACTCAGTCTTGAGTATATTCGTAACATTTCTTAAAATTTCGCCAATTTCAGCTCGAATATTCTGATAAAAGAGTCTCATTAAACAAAAAAGAGTATAAGTCAGCTAGTCCTCGGTTTGACGAATTGTATTTTTATTATTAAGAGAGCCTAACAAACCTTTTTGCTCGTTCAGAGAAGATCAAAATCATTCGACGAACAACAAAATTAAAGAGAGGGTGACAAAGGGTTTTTGCGTGACGCATGATCGTCCCAAAATTAGCAGTGGGGCGCGTGATTGATACCAAATTGGCCGCGTGACGCGGGACAGGACATCATAACGCGATGCGTGATTTGCTATTTTACAAGCACATGATTCGTGATTTACTAATTAGATTTCCGTAATAAGGGAACGTTCTCTGAACTATAGGAGAATATCATTCATTCAAAGTAAATAGTAAATAGAGTTTTAAAAAAGATCAATAAATCGGGGCAGACGTGACACCGTTTTCTGGTATTTTTCGTTCCTTCTTCCGCTTGACCTCTGATGTCTTGGATTTTCGTGGATCTTCATGGTACTATATGTCCAGACAATTGTAACACAATAGGAATAAGTCAATTGAAAATAGTTGAAATTTGCATGTAAGGACTATGAGCTTCAGTGTTATTTCTGTTATTATTTTTTGGCAGTGCATCAGACCATAT